CTAGAAACCTTTCCTAATTTTTCCATTGCTGCCCTTCCAAGTTTCAACCTTCTCTTGATTTCATGACTGTAGTCTCCATTGGGAAGGCAGCTATGCTCACCACTATGGCACCAACGCTATAGTCTCCATTTGAATCTATGACTGAAACAAAGTAATCAACGTTTTTTTTTAAGTTTCATGTCTACTTTTAATTAAATGGTTGATTCCTAGATCAGATTAACATGTATATAAGTTATTCATGACTGTCAGAAGCAAAAGCTGCAGGCAGAGTTTTTCCAAAACCAAACACTAGAGGGGACAGTCAGGCTTCTTTCCCTGTGGCTGGGGCCTGGCTCCTCTAGGAGGGAGCCAACCATTGCAGCCCATTGGAATTAATTGGCCTCAGGGCCTGGTGATCCAGGTGGCTGCTTGCCATATACCATTAAGACCTGAACCATCTTTTTTTTATTTGTATTGATTTTTTTACAGAAAGAAAGGGAGGAGAATAGAGAGTTAGAAACATCGATGAGAGAGAAACATCCATCAGCTGCCTCCTGCACACCTACTACTGGGGATGTCCCCACAACCAAGGTACATGCCTTTGACTGGAATCGAACCTGGGACCCTTCAGTCTGCAGGCTGACGCTCTATCCACTGAGCAAAACTGGTCAGGGCCTGAACCATCTTTTGCTAGCTAGTGCAGTTCAAAGCAGGAATCACATTCTTAATAGAAACTGAAGATGTGCTCTTTAATCCTTATAGAGGAATCAGAGGCCCGATGCACAAAATTTGTGCACTGGAGGGGGGTGTCCCTCAGCCCAGCCTGTACCCTCTCCAATCTGGGACTGTTGGCTCCTAACTGCTCGCCTGCCTGTTTGCCTGTTGCCCCCAACCTCTTATGCCTACCAGCCTGATCACCCCTAACCACTCACCTGCTGGCCTGATTGATGCCTAACTATTCCCCTGCCAGCCCGATCGCCCCCAACTGCCATCACCTGCTGGCCTGATTGCCCCCAACTGCTCTCCCCTGCCGACCTGGTCGCCCCTAACTGCCCTCCCTTGCCAGCCTGTTCGCCCCTAACTGCCCTCCCCTGCTGGCCTGATTGCCCACAACTGCCCTCCCCTGCCAGCCCTGTTTCCTCTATCTGCCCTCTGCTGGCCTGGTCACCCCCAACTGCCCTCTCCTGTTGGCCCAGTCACCCACAACTGCCCTCCCCTGCAGGCCTGGTTGCCCCTAACTACCCTCCCCTGCTGGCCTGGTCGCCCACAACTGACCTTCCCTGCCGGCCATGTTTGCGAGGGCATGATGGTCAATTTGCATAATACATAGGATAGGATATCTCAATCGAGTTTTTCTCTACCATTCTTTCATGGAAAGGAGATGAAAGATAGCCCTTAACTGGTCCAGACCTAGTAGTGCAAACTGGAGTTTCATTAATTTGGTTAAGTACTTCCATTACTAGAGTCGCTGAGGATATCGTAGGAACTATTCTTTATTTTACATCATAGCTTTATTCAGCAAAATGGTAGTATTGAGACTCAACTTGAATTCACTTTGACACTAAGTCCTGTGTCATATTTTCTTTAGCATGTTAATTCTCCAAAGCATTTGGTTATTTAATCATTTTAATTTTTTGCTTAAGGTATTTAATTCTCAAGAACTACACTCTGGCTTACAGCCCAGGTCTCTTCCTTAGGTCTCTCAAAGATGTACAGCTGTGACTACCAGGCACAGAGGAAGGACTTGCCTTTAAGACCCAGCCAGGCAGGCCTGTAAATAACTTTGGGTCCCTAAAAGGGACTCTTTTGTGCACAGATTACTCTTGGGATTTGCCACCATATTTGGAACATGACCTCTGGAGCCAGCAAAGCTCAGGGTGGAAGGGTGGTCAGGTTTTCCTAGTACCTGGAAAACCTATGTGGTTACCGTGACTGCTTTCAGAACATGGAATCCTGACTCATGTTTCCCCAGTGTTCAATAGCTGTCTCTCCCTTGAACTTCTGTAAGTTAGTGCTACCCTATCCTTTTCTTTAATTTATTCTCATACTAGAGGCCCAGTGTATGACATTCAAGCACTGGGATGGGGGTGGGGGTCCCTTAGCCCAGCCTGCACTCTCTCCTTACCGCTCGCCTGTTCACTGCTCCTTACAGCTCGGCTCGCTGCTGCTGAATGCTACCACGGAGGCAGGAGAGGCTCTCGCGGCTTCTGGCTGAGCAGTGCTCCCCCCCGTGGGGGGCACACTGACCGCCAGGAAGCAGCTTCTGCATTGAGCGTCTACCCCAGGTAGTCAGGGTGCATCATAGCGACCTGTCGTTCAGTTGTTGGAGATACAAAGATATGAATACAGTGTAATTGCTGTGTAGTGGGGACATAGTAGAGAGATACTGAAGTGTCAGAATTTGAGAATTTGTCTTAGGAAATTACAGGGGTTTAATGTAAAGGAAGAGTTGGCCAGATGCAGGTAAGTTAATGCGCTCTAAGTAGAAGGATCATGTGCTGAGGCATGGAATCAGGAGGCAGCCTGATGCTTTCCTGTGTAGTGTTTGCAGTGTTGTTTACGGCAGTCCCCCCTTATCCATGGGACGTTCATTTCAAGACTCCTAGTGGATGATTGAAACCATGGAAAGTACCGAACTCTGTATATACTATGCTTTTTCCTCCTCCTCATTCTCCTAAACCGCCTTCTCTCCTGGCCCTTTAAATGGAGGTGCTTTATGGTGTTGTCCTTGTTCTTCACTTACCCTGTACTTGGTCTCTGGGCTATGCTATCCACTGTGATGGTTTTAGATAACTCCTTGAGAATAAATCCAGCTCTGGTCTTTTTCTTTCGTTTTAGAACAAATTAAGATTAAAATTACACAGTCTGCTTGATAGAATTTGTGTGTGTGTTTTTTTTACAGTACCACCAACTTGTCCCTGGCCAGGTAGCTCAGTTGGTTAGAGTGTCATCCTGATACTCCAAGGTTGTGGGTTCGAACCCCAGTCAGGGCACGTATCAGAATCAATCAGTGAATGCATAAATAAGAAGAACAATAAATCGATGTTTCTCTTTGCCTTTCTCAAACCAGTCAATCAGTCAATCAATAAAATTTCAGTTAAACATTTTCCAAACAGGCTAAAAACCTGACAATAAACTTTAATTCTTCCCTTGCCTTCCTCCAGCCTCACCAAACTTAGGCACTTGTTAGGTCTGTTAACTGATAGACCTGGGGTGACCAAGAGCATTTCACATGTCCAGACTCTCTTTGCCATCCCTGCTGCTGCTGCTGCTGCTGCCCAAGTTCATGACTTTGTTTTCTCTCACCTGGGAGTATTACAGTGTCCTTGCCTCCACTTTCTCAGGTCTTCCAGAATTGCTTCAGTATCGGCTTGAGCATGTTAGTTCTTTCCTTGGTTGCTCTCCGTGAATACAGAGTAACATCCAGCCTCTTGGTGGGCAGGACTCTTAGCAATCTTGTCCCAGAGGACTCTCTGGACCTTGTGTCCCACAACCGCTCGAGGAGCCATTTCCTAAAGCTCCATGAATGTTTGTACTTCTGGGCATTTACTTGTGTGTTCCTGCCTTGACTGCCCATTCTGTTTCTCCTTTCTGCCCAGAAAGTCCTGCAGAGTCCAGTGCAAGGGTCTTCTCTGTGAAGTCTTCTTCAAGTTTAGAGTAAATGTTTGGGGGATTACGAGGAATAGAACTGTGCTACAACTCTAATAGCAATGACTATGGAGAAATTACTGTGTGACAGCCACATTATGAACACTGCGAACACTAAAAGCAGATGATTAAGAACGTGAGCTTTGATGATAAGAGTTATTTATAATCTCAGCATCAGTTAAGTCTGACAGTTAAATGTGCTTCTCTTAATGGAAAGTAAGCAATAAATTATTGTTGCTGCCACCATAAATGGTAAGGTTTTCATCCCTTCTCACCCCTTGTGAGATAGTAGATATATCATTATGCATGTTTTACAAATGATGAAACTGAGGTTTAGGGAGTCTGGGTAACTTGTACTGCTTCCCCAAACACACGACTGTGGGATTTGTGGCTTACTCATCTTTTTATTCTATAGTATCTTTAAACTCAGTAAGTATTTATTGAATTTAAGGTTGTATCTGGAGTTCCGGGGTCAGATGATAGAAAAATTTAGGAATTGTTACCTGTACAGAGTGGTAATTTAAGTTGTTCTCTAAGTCTTGTCGTCTTTGAGAGTCCACACATTTCAACCACACTTCAGCAGTGAGCTACATAGTGCCATGTGACATATGGCAGTGATCCTCAACTGTTACTTAAACCTTTTTTATTTATTTTTTATTTTTACTGAGTTTTTACAGAGAGGAAGGGAGAGGAATAGATAGTCAGAAACACCGATGAGAGAAATAAAAATCAGCCGCCTCCTGCACATCCCCCACTGGGATGTGCCCGCAACCAAGGCACGTTCTCTTGATCGGAATCGAACCCGGGACCCCTTAGTCCGTAAGCCGACGCTCTATCCACTGAGCCAAACCGGTTTCAGCAAACCTTTTTTAAAATTTGTTTGTATTTGTCTTTTTCCCCCAACTGGTTTGTAAACTCTGAGGGCAGAAGATCCGTACTGTGTACTACTATGCATATTAACTCCTGCTCCCTTAAAACCATTGTTTTCTAAGATAATAGGTCAAACTTGAATAAGAGTTCATCTTAATCTCAAAAAGGAATTCTCAAGCAGTGACCAACCAATATTATTTTGTTAATCTTTACTTTCTATTATCTGAATTAAGAAAACTGGTTTTACATTTTCCAAATAAAATTTATTAAACTTTCATCTCTAATGTTTGTTGCATTTATAACAGTCTAAGTCTCTATGACCAGTAAGATTCTAATACACATTTGTATCCTTGAGTTTCATTTTACAGTTGAGGAAGTGGAGGGCCATATTCCAAGTGGTTCTCCCACTTGTCTTGCAAACTGTTCTCTAAACAACTTGGTAAAGAATCAAGATCCTTAGGGGTGTGAGAGTTTTCAATGCTTTGTAATTTGTTTTTTGACAGAGCTGAAAAACTTCAGCTGCTGAATCACAGGCCTATGACTGCTGTTGAGATCCAGCTGGTGAGTGAAGGAGGGTAGTGTGTGTGTGTGTGTGTGTGTGTGTGTGTGTGTGTAATGGGGGTGGGTGGGTTGATTTATGGGTATGAGATGTAGAAAGGGTGATATAAAGGCAGACAACAGCCAAGCCAGGAACTGGCATAACTTGGAAAGACTGTCAGGCCACTACATTTTATAAGTGAAATTTAATCCTACTTAGTATGGACTTAGGTAAAGTAGAAGACGAAATTTAATTCCTTCTATAGGTTTAGGCCTATGATTTGGTAGCTCTTTTCTCACCTGATGTTCTGCGTGATTCTGGCCATTGCTCCCCTGTAGGGTTATTGCCAACCCAGATGTTGCATACAAACAGACTCGACACGACTGCTGGAATACATCTCCCCCACGCCTACCCTTTGACCTGCTCTTCCTGAATTTCTTTTCTTGGCTAATAGAGCATATGTGCACTTTCCCACATGCTCTCTTTCTTACCCTCCTGGCCCAGTCTCCTAAGCTAGAAACCTGGAAGTCATTCTCTTCTTTTATCACACTGCGTCCTCAGGTTCTATTGCTTCTGTCTCTTATTCTTCCTTTCCCTACTGCACTGAACTACTCTCTGTCATCATATCTCCACTCGGCTCTTGCAGTTATCCTCTCACCATTCTCCCTGTTCCAGTCTGGCCCCTTCAGTCTATCTTCCACAGCACTATATAGTTCATTTTCTAAAACCACAGATTTGATGATCTTATTTCCCTGCATAAAACCATTCAGAGGAGCCTCATCACATGGAAAGTCTAAATTGCAGCCCCAGCATAAAGCTTCAGAATTGTGGGAGGCAGCTGGAGTAGGAAGCTGAGGTGGTGTAAGGAGACTGTGAAACAGGTCCAGTGATACAGATGAGTGGTTGCTATATTGACTTGCTGTTTCCTTCAGTAGTACAGAGCAAAGAGCATCAGTAAGCAACAAATATTAGGCAAGCTATTCAACTGCCAGAGAGAAACTTTGGCTGGAGAATTAACAAAATGAGAATAAAACTGTTTCCAAAATCAGTTTTAGAAGTATTTAGCACTTTGTCAGATTTCCTTCAGAAAAGTGTGGAAGAAAATGGCCAGTAATGCCTATGATCTCTAAAATTGTTTAAAAAACAAAACAAAAATATTCTTTCCTTAAAGAGTCATGGGATACTTAATTTTTGACTAAAACTTATTGTCTTTGTAGTGTTGCTTCTGCCCTTCAGAATGCACTCAAAATTTAGAAAAGTTCCTTCCACAAAGGGTGCCTTTCTGGGTAACTGGCCTTCAGGATCACAAAGATTCATTTTAAACCCTCATTGTTCTTATGCTTTCGACTGTGTGTAGGAGATTCAACTTGGAAAAGAGAAAAAACAAACAAAACAGCAAGAAACTAATTCCTTTCCCTCTGGGTTAAAGATCACATGTCATGTCTCCTTCAACTTTAATCAGCAACATATGTTATTCATGGCTTCAGAACAGATGGAAAAGAGATGAGGAGGATTAGTGTGACCTCATCCCAGAGCCTGTAGAAAGCTCTATCATCCCTTGTAAAATTAGCTGCTGTTGAGAATACCTATTTATGCCAGACGTGGTGCTAAGGCTTTGTAAAGGTCACCTTTAATGCCTCCACCATAATCTTGGTTAGTGAGAGGCTGATTCGAGTTTGTCTCATTCACAAGTCTTACTGTGTTCCCCCAAGCCACGTACTTTTGGATCCCCTCAGACTGTTCTCTTTTCCTTTCCTTGGTGAAAATTATGTATGTTGTTTTCCAGTAATTGGACCATTTTATATACAGAGTTTTCCCAGCCTGGGATTTGGCTGTAAAAGATAGCAAATCATTTACCAAGGCTTGTAGCAGTATCTCTTCTCACCAGAGTGGAATAAGAAGTTGAGTTTTCACAGAGAATGGAAACTGCAGAGCACTTGAGACTTTCCTCATTTAAAGCTTACAACCATTTTGAAGTAATCCCAGCATCTAACATTTGTTAGTATTCAGTATTAGGGTCTGAAGCTTCTCTTTTTCAATTGCACCTCAGCCATGATTTGTTGGAATCCTCAGACCTGTCTGAAGAAGAGGAAGCCACCAGCTTCTATGACTCTGCCTCCCCTTTGAGCCCTCTGATCTGAAGATAGGACAGTGAACCCATGACCTCACCGGCCATGGCCCTGAGCAGCACTGCCATCTATGCCTGTTATAGTGTAGTGACTATAAAATGTCTTTTTTTTAAACAAACATATATTTTATTGATTTTTTACAGAGAGGAAGGGAAAGGGATAGAGAGCTAGAAACATTGATAAGAAAGAAACATCGATCAGATGCCTCCTGCACTCCCCCCACTGTGATATGCCTGCAACCAAGGTACATGCCCTTGACTGGAATCGAACCTGGGACCTTTCAGTCCGTAGGCTGACGCTCTATTCACTGAGCCAAACCGGTTTCAGCAAAATGTCTTGAATTATGTAGAGTTTTATGGCTTACAAAAGACGATAGTATTTGTTCTTATTTGGTCCTGACTATACACATTACTTTTTTTCTTTTTCTTTTTTTAATATATTTTATTTATTATTATTATTATTTTAGATATATTGATTTTTTACAGAGAGAAAGGGAGAGAGATAGAGAGCTAGAAACGTCAATGAGAGAGAAACATCGACCAGCTGCCTCCTGCACACCCCCTACTGGGGATGTGCCCGCAACCAATGTACATGCCCTTGACCGGAATTGAACCTGGGACCTTTCAGTCCACAGGCCGATGCTCTGTCCACTGAGCCAAATCGGTTTTGGCTCTACACATTACTTTCATTTTATAATAGAGAAAATTGAAATTTACAGAGGTTGGGTGAACTGTTCCTGGGTCAACTAGCTAAAAGTGTCAGTGACTATTATTAGATTTTGAGATGTTTGCGTAAAGTAAGAGGTTAGGCCTGGCAGCTTAAAATGAGAAACAGTTCATCAGCTCAATTTGACAGCTCCTGACCATTGATATAATCTTTGTGTATGATTAAAGACGTGTGATGTATGTTGACCCATCTGCAAATACTTTGGATTTTAAAATTTCATTTGCCTTTATATTCTGAATAACTTGAAACCTTTGATTTCAGAATGTTGAGATGGTGCTTTGCACTTCTTTATTTGGGCCTGAGAGTCTTGGGTTGAAAAGAAAACTTCCTGATTATAATTATCCCTGAGGATCATTTGCGAATCAAAGCTGCTTCTGGAATATTTGGCTAAATGGAAAGCTCATCAGCCCTTTTGCCAAGAACACACCTCCCTGACACCTGATCTTAGTGTTGCATCTACCAAACCCAGAGACTGGGATGCAAGAAGGTGGCCTATTGAGGTTCTCTCTGTTTGGTTTTCTGAAAGGGAAGGCCTCTTAGAGGTCACATAACCGAACTCTTAACCAGTGGACTCTGTAGTAGTCTGCTGTACAGCAGAGCATCTCTGAGAGAGGAAACACTAGAACCTCCTCGTAGAAGGCATGTGTTCTAGAAAGCTGGGATGGAAAGTCAAAAACCTTGCCCCACTTGCTTTGAGACCCAGGTCAGGTTCCACTTACCGGTAAATTTGTCCTGCCTTGATGTGCAGTGCTCTTGAGAAGCTCTGGGGCGGTGATTCTGTGACAGCCCCTCACAGTCTGTGGAGCACTGCACAGATTCTAGTGGAGACTCTCACTCTTTTAACAGTAGTTCAGAACTCCTTCATCCTCTCACCTGAGGCAGGAAGTAGTTCACCATCAACTGCATATGCCAGTTATTCATAAACTTGGAGAGATTCTTCTCAAATGGAGATAATTTTTTCTCAAGATTAAATCAGATTGGCTATGTCCCTCCTTCCTCTTACTTCATTCTTTGGAGGCAGTCTATGTTAGTCCTTTCATAGACACCAGTTTTGCATGTCTGATTTTAAAAATGGGCTTGGGGATTGTTTCTTGTTCAGTTAAGAAGTTACAGCTGAAACCGGTTTGGCTCGGTGGATAGACCATTGGCTTGCAGACTGAAGGGTCCCGGGTTCGATTCCGGTCAAGGGCATGTACCTTGGTTGCGGGCACATCCCCAGTAGGGAGTGTGCAGGAGGAAGCTCATTGATGTTTCTCATTGATGTTTCTAACTCTCTATTCCTCTCTGTAAAAACAAAAAAAAAATCAATAAAAATTTTTTTTTTAAAAAAGAAGTTACATTTTATTATGCCTTTGAATCATTAGACAATGGACATTTAAAAAATATATATATTTTGCTGAAGCCGGTTTGGCTCAGTGATAGAGCATCGGTCTGCGTACTGAAAGGTCCCAGGTTTGATTCCTGTCAAGGGCATGTACATTGGTTGCGGGCACATCCCCGGTAGGGGGTGTGCAAGAGGCAGCTGGTCGATGTTTCTCATTGACGTTTCTAGCTCTCTATCTCTCTCCCTTCCTCTCTGTACAAAATCAATAAAATATATTTAAATATATATATATATATATATATATATATATTTTATTGATTTTGTACAGAGAGGAAGGAAGAGAGATAGAGAGTTAGAAACTTTGATGAGAGAGTCATTGATCAGCTGCCTCTTGCACGCCCCCTACAGGGGATGTGCCCGCAACCAAGGTACATGCCCTTGACCGGAATCAAACCCGGGACCATTCAGTCCCCAAGCCGACGCTCTATCCATTGAGCCAAACTGGTTTTGGCTAGACAATGGACATTTTATTTCACAGTGTGATGGGAATTAATTTCATTGGTTCACTTGGTATCTTCCCCACCCTACACTACCTGGGTTTATTTTCTAGTTGTGGAAACATTTTTGGACTAAGATAAACGAAGAGACTAATGTTTTGTCAGGAGTTTGCAGAATGCTCTTGGATGTATCACCGGACTTCTTTTGTTTCTATCCTGTTATTTGTAAAGTGAGGCAGTGGACTGATTTCAGGATTGTAAATCTAGCTTGCCATCTTCCTTTATTTAAATCTGCCGGATTTCTTTCTAGAATTCCTTTTGGTCTTACTTGCCAGATGTCAGAGATAGGGTGTCAGCTGTGTGTTCAGATTTCCAGGACTGTTGGAAGTCAGGCTTTAAGTAGACCTGTGAGGAGGCAATGTAGGGTTGCTTTCCAGCGTCACTCATCAGACTCCTGTTCTGCATTCTCAGGAGGAGACTTAGGGCCCAGTGTTGTGTGTTTGAGTTGGATAGGCCTGGCTTGGATTTCTAGTTCGCCCCTTGCCAGGATTGTTCTGAGGCTTAAAAGAAATAATGGATGTAAAGTGTAAGGTGCAGCGCCAGGCACATAGCTCCCTAAAGAGCTGTTCTTAGGTGGTGGGGTTAATGAGGATTAGAAAAAAATGTATAAACCATTTGGCACCGTTGGTGAGGCAGTGTGGGATTGTTTTCCAGGGGCGCTCATTAGACTCCTGCTGAGTCATCAGATGAGTTGTTGCTAGTTTGTAAGTTACAGATGAACTTGTGAAATACTAAAATATATAAAGCACCATGCACTTTCTTTGCATGTACAACATATTCACATGTGTATATAGGGACAAAACTGTTAGGGTTTTCTTTTTCTTTTTTTTCTTTTTTCTTTTTAATGTATTTTATTGATTTTTTTACAGAGAGGAAGGGAGAGGGATAGAAAGCCAGAAACAGTGATGAGAGAGTAACATCGATCAGCTGCCTCTTCCACGTCCCCAGCCCGCAACTCAAGTACATGCCCTTGACCGGAATCGAACCCGGGACCCTGGAGTCCACAGGCCGACGCTCTATCCATTGAGCCAAACCGGTTTCAGCTTCTTTTTCTTTAAAGAAAACTTCCCCCTCCTGTGGAGCCAAGGTGGAGCGGACCCAGAGACCGGAGGTTGCTCGGGACTGGCCCGAGCTCTGTGCTAAGAGGCTGGGCTGGGACTGGGAACGACATGGGTGGCCCAGCCCAGCAGGCCCATTGTAACCCTGGAGGTTTCCTTCCTTCTGCAGATGGTGGAAGAGAGTGAAGAACGGCTCACAGAGGAGCAGATCGAAGCGCTTCTCCACACGGTCACAAGCATTCTGCCTGCGGGGCCAGAGGCTGAGCAGAAGAAAACTGCCGGCTGTGACGTGACGATGGAGGAAGGGGACCCGGCGTAGAAGAGCACGCACACCCGGGCCAGGCATCTCAGGAACCTCAGAGGCCAGCGCTGCTTTTCAGACACAGAGCACTATTTGTCTAGTTTTATCCTCTATCCCAGCACACCTGATTCCATGGTTAGTTGGGTAAATGACAAAAATAATTCTCAAAAATAAGTGGGAGAGAGAGAGAACTGCATTCGGGAGAAGAAACATGGTGAAGCCAGGCTGACGTCAGCACAGAGAGCTGAAGAAAGGAGGACAAGGACTGGGGAACCCTCTGTGGGAAAATATTTCTTTTGTGGCCTTTGCCACAATTGTGGGCAAGTCCTTTTTACGCCGCTAGTACAGTACTGTGTTGCCTTTGATGGGCTGGCCTACTAATTAGCTCCATCTACTTCCTTAGGGACTTCCCAAGCGGGGGCGCAGAGTGCTGCTGGGATGAGAACTTAGCAGAATCCAGTTAGCTGGCTGATCACCAGTCCTCTAGTATATAAATAAAAAACCTGACCTGGTCTGGGAGAATGAATGAGTAGAAGGATGAGGAGAAGTTAGTAAATGAAAGAACATTCCTTGAAGATATTTTTGTGTTTCCCCATCTCTGTACTTTTGTGTATGCTGTGCCATCTGCTTGTACTTCATGCCTTTTTCAAGTATCCAAATTTTAACTCCTTTCTAGTAATCTTCTGCTGAAGTATTCTCTCCTGACTATAAACTAGACACATTTGTTGGTTTTTAGCTGCCATATATGCATGGACTTACTATATTTTTGCAATCCTCACCTTGCCCTGTTACATAAATCTAGAAGTCACCCTTGACTCCAACCTCCATGTAATCCATTAGCATGTCACATCTCTTTTAGTTTCATGCAGAATTTTTTGAGAAAGCAATGATTAAAGGACTAACTAATCTTAACCTTTTTACCTTTTTAAAATTGTAAAATAAAACGGATATAAAAACTCCCCACATCAAACATAAATTACAGGAGCTGGATTGTAAAGAGAATTTATGATTCATAGCTTAATGAGTTACAAGGAGAATATCCTTAAAACCACTACTCAGTTCAAGATATAGAACTACCCAGCAATGTACCACTTCTGGTTATTCAAAGAAAACCAAATTGGAGCATTATTTACCATAGCCAAGATATGGAAGCAACCTAGGTGTTCATTGATAAGCTTATGGATAAATTTTTAAAATATCCTATATAAGTCGAAACCGGTTTGGCTCAGTGGTAGAGCATCAGTCTGCGGACTGAAAGGTCCCAGGTTCGATTCCGGTCAGGGGCATGTACACTGGTTGCAGGCAAATCCCGGTGGGGGGTGTGCAGGAGGCACCTGGTCGATGTTTCTCTCATTGATGTTTCTAGCTCTCTTCCTCTCTGTAAAAAAAAATCAATAAAATATATTTTTTTAAAAATTTCCTATATAATAAAAGGGTAATATGCAAATTGACCCTACTGGTGGAACAACCAAAATGACCACTGGACCAGTCACTATGAGGAGCACTGACCACCTCTTGGTTTCTTTCCCCGGCCGGCAGGCTCCAATCACCCAATGGTGAATGGGGAACCAGGGGTAGCTGGTGGGGGACATGGGTGGCTCCAGGTCAAGGCCCCTGCCCTGCTGGTCGCACCACACACACTGCGACCTGTGGCAGGGGGCGGGGCCAGCCGCAAGCAGCTGGGGAAGATGGTCTTGATTGCAGGCCAGGCCTAGGGACCATACTCGGCACAAGAATTTTGTGCACTAAGCCTCTAGTACCATGTTTCCCCGAAAATAAAACAAACTCCGAAAATAAGACCTACTTACTGGTTTCCTGAGTGAAATATAAGGCATCCCCCCAAAAATAAGGCCCTCCTAGGCTCTGTCTCAGAATGAAAATTAATTTACCGTAAACTGGTCGCTAGGGCTGCCCCGACTGGCATCTAGCAACCAGTGACGTTTCGCGGAGTCCTGACGTCACTGCTGTGTGGAGGTGGAGCGGAGGTCGGAGTGAGCGGTGAGTGCGGGGAGGGAGAGAGGAGGAGCCTTTTGCAGTTGTGTGTAGAAGAACAGGAGGATTAGAGTGGACGGGATGCGGTGAAGGTGATGAGTGCTGGTCTGTCTCTGGTGACACTTGACACCACCTGATGCTCGCAGACACCCTCATGATGACTGAAGGTTCTCAGGCAGGCCCCAGGGGGTAAATGTCTGATAAAGGGGTAGGGGGAATATCTGGTGAAGGTGTTCAGTGGCACAGGGGTGGGGGAGGAGGATCACTTAAAATGACACAGGAGGATCAGAGGGGGCAATCAAAATGACACAGGAGGATCAAAAGGGGTTACTAAATGGTAATCCCCCCTCTGATCCCCCCTGTGTCATTTTAAGTGATCCCCCTCCCCCCACCTTGATACGTGAGAGATTTGGTCCACTGATTCTGAAAGAAATGGAGTCACAGAAATTCACCAGGAAATTCAGGAATTGGATTGTTATGATGATGTTCCAGAAGATGATGACATGATTGTCATTGAATAAATGAGTAAATTCTTGATACTGTAGGATTCACAGTTTGGTTTGTGTTGACAACTACCGTACTACCGTGCCGTATACAGGTAATAAATTTCCTTTATTTTCATTTAACAATAAATGTGTACCGTATTCTTCTTCATGGAAAAATAAGACATCCCCTGAAAATAAGACATAACGCATCTTTGGGAGCAAAAATTAATATAAGACACTGTCCTATTTTTGGGGAAATAAATAATGGAATATTACTCAGCGATAAAAATGAATAAAATCTTGCCATTTGGGACAATATGGATGGATCTAGAGGGTATTTTGCTAAATGAAATAAGTCAGAGAAAGACAAATGCTATATGATTTCACTTATATGTGGAATTTGAATAACAAAACAAATGAATAATCAGAAAAAAACCCATAGATAAAGAGAATTCCCTGATGGTTGCCAAAGGGGAGGAATGGGAGTGGGTGAAAGGGAAAATAAATTGGGAAAGACAAAAATTTTTAGATGAAAACATGCTCCAAGGTAAAAGTATTGAGTCACAAATTTATATTTCTAACACTTTAAATAGCTGTAAGATTTTTATTATTGTAGATCATCATAGTGTGGAAACTTGTCCACTGGAAATTATTATTGAGTTTTCAGAACTGTATATTAATACAGAAATATAATTAGGTAAGGTCTAGGCTGATTTCATGCTTATTAAGTCCTAGTCCAATGATAGTTTAAAAAAAAATGAAAGTGTGTAGTTAGAATTTATCATGTCATTCTAATTAATTACAGTGGAACTTTGTTTCTCGGACGTCTCCCATCTCAAACCACTTCTCAACCTGGCAACCCTTTCATGTATGATCAAAGGTACGCTGTTAAAATCTCAAGCTATTGTGCTGTGAATATTTTTTTTGTGTGTGTGTGTTTGTTTTTTTTTGCTTTTGTTCCTGATTTTAATTGTTACATTTTCATTTTTTACTGTACATTTTCAAGTTTTTATTAACATTTCATGTCCTGTTTGTTTTTAAAGTGTTTGTTTATAGAGTAAACAGTATAATAGACATGTACTTTATATAAGAAAGGTTAAAACGGAATCATTTGGGGGTCTGGCACAGATGATTTCAATTTACATGATTTCTAATGGGAAAAAATGATTCTGTTTTCACATGGCCTTCCGGAACGGATTACGTTTGAGAAACAAGATTTCACTGTATTGTGAAACAGTTTAGAATTTGTAGCACAGTATAAGTACTGTTGCTAAAGAAAAAGAAAAAAGAAATAGAACTTTGCCAGCCACCCCAGAAACTCTCCTTTTGCCCATTCCCAGATAGAGTCGCATTCCTTCCACTTAAAATACCCTCAATTGTGACTTTTATGGTAGCCACTTCTTTGGGTTTCGTATGGTTTTATTAAGTGTGCATCCCTTACCACAATAGTGCACATTTCAAGGAGATGGCTCGTAGGCCTTTGGAAAGACATTTCTGGCATGAAAAACTGGCAAGAAGTCAATTTAACTTTTTTACAGATTTACATCTCAAAAGAGACAGGAAGTATTTGTAATTTCAAGTTTTTTAAAGGAAAGCCTGGGCAGAAGGAAGGTGAGGAGGGGGGACTAATAGTTCTCCAGAGGTGACCAATAAATTTTGTTTGTTTGTTTTAAATACCATTATTAACTCAGGCAATAATAGATGAGCTTCACTCTATGTAGTTATTCTTAATGCAGTTCAAATTGTCTACTGGCCAGTAGGAGCCTCTTCAAAGTTGGCTCCTGTGTCCTTTTGACTCTGTAAAGGCTTTGAGCGCTACTTTGTGATCTGGTATGAGAAGAGGTACAGGCCATCTTGTACCTTTCCTTCCCTGAAATCATCCATTTTTCCCAAAAGCCCTGGTTTCAGGATCACATCTGCCTTGCTTCTGATGGATCATTGTTTCTAGGCCTTTTCAGTCAACTGAGTTCATATATAAAAATTCATATCTCTCTAGTTTGGGTTGTGTTACGTTCTTATCCCTCATTTTAGTTACCTGAAACTTGTTATTTAGTATTTTTAAAAATTCACATTTTTATTGATTTCAGAGAGAAAGGGAGAGGAAGAGAGAGAGACGTCAATAATGGGAGAATCATTGATTGGCTGCTTCCCACATGCCCTTCGCTGGGGATTGAGCCTGCAACCTGGGCATGTACCCTGACCAGAATTGAACCGGTGACCTCTTGACTGATAGATCCATGCTCAACCACTGAGCCACACTGCTGGGCTGTTTTTTTGTTTTATTTTCATAATAGCTGATACAATAGGTGTGTGGTGGTATCTCTTTGTGGTTTTAATTTGCATCTCTCTAATGATTAATGATTAATAACGAGCATCCTTTCATGTGCCTATTGAGCATTTGTACATCTTATTTGGAGAAATGTCTCTTCAGTTACTTTGAATTGCATTGTTTTTGTTGTTTAGTTGCAGAGAGTCAGTTCTTTTTATATTTTGTATATTAAATTCCTTATCAGATATACAGTTTGAAAATATTTTCTCCCATTTATGGGTTGTTTTCACTCACTAGAGTAGGGGTGTTGAACTCAATCAGAGAAGGGGCCAAAATCTAAAATCCAGCCTAAATCGCGGGCCGAATTGTTTACTGAACAGTCATAAACTGTCATTGTGATGGAAACGCAGCGGAGTGCAGTGATGACAGCGCGGTGCGGGCCACATTGCAAGGCCTGGCGGGACGGATTTGGCCCGCGGGCCTTGTGTTTGACACATGTGCACTAGAGGATACCCTTTGATTATTTCCCTCCCCCCATTAATTAGCAATTTATAGGAAGATCATAAAAATAATCTTTAAGGTTATATAAATATTCTCTTCTTCATCAAATTTTCACTTACTAGTGTAAGCATTTATTGATAATTCTCAAATCAACAGCTGCTATTTTTGAGCACCAACCTTGTTCCAGGTACTGCCTAACATGTACCATTTCTATGTCACAGATCAGGAGGC